TGGCTTTAAACCTCATTCCCCATATCTCAGCCTTCTGAGTAGCTAGGATTATAGGCATCAGCCACCGGTGCCAGGCTAAGAACTCAGAATTTAATGGAGGGGTCAGATGCGTGGTCACAGTATTTTAGGACAAGCTGAAGGAGAACAACTTCCCTTATAACCAAGTAGGTTATAACTCAATGTAGGAGATGAGCTACTATTTTCCAAAAGTGTAAGAATGAGAGACAAATAAAGGACACAAATCACCTGGAGGGTCTCTTAAAATATAAAGAACATAATTACAAGTTTATTTTGATCAATATGATTGAAATTAGCTATTACATGACAAATAGCAAGTATTTGATATTATTTATTATCAAAACATCTTCATATCATGTAGTTCAGTGGTTTTTAGAGTATTAATTGTGTACTTATCTAGTTTTAAAACATTTTTAACACCCCCTCGTCACCCAAGTAAATTCCCAAACTCATATCTATCCTAAAACCTCCAGACCTAAGCAACTGTGCATTTCCTTTCTGTCTCTACAGACTTACCTGGTTTGAATAGGCCATGATAAAGGAGCCATACAATATTTCTGCTGTCCCTGAGCATGTTGTTAAGATTTATCCATGTCCTAGCATGGGTAAACATTTCATTTATTTTCATGGTTGAGATTCCATGATGTGAACATGTCATAGCTGGTTTATCCCTTGACCAGTGAGTGGATGCTTGTCTCTTACATATAATGCTACCATGAACATTCATTGCATGTTTCTATGTAGACATCTGTTTTTATGTGGACATATGTTTTCTGTTCTCATCTGCATGTACCCTAGTGGCATTGTGGGTTCTGTGGTAACTCTGTGTTTGCTGGTTGGAGGAGCTGTCCAACCCTTTGCCAGTGTGGCTGTGCCGCTTTAGCTCCTCACAAACAGGCCACAAGGGGTCTGGTTTTCTTCCTATTCTCATCCCCAAAAATGTATGCTATTGACTAGCCATAGAATTGCTTTATGAGGGGCTGGGAAGGTGGCTCAGTGGTAGAGCACTTGTCTTGCATGCCTGAGGCCCTGGGTTTGATTCCTCAGCACCACATAAGAAAAAAGCCAGAAGTGGTGCTGTGGCTCAAGTGGTAGAGCACTAGCCTTGAGCTGAAGAGCTGAGGGACAGCGCCCAGGCCCAGAGTTCAGGCCCCATGACCGGACCAAAAAAAAAAAAAAAAAAAAAGAATTGCTTTATGAAAATAGAAAGTCACTAGAACAGAGAAGTTCCAGTTAAATCCCCTTGTTCACACTTCCGAAGGCTCAAACATAAGTCACGTGCTATTAGAACTTAAAACAGAATGCCAGTTTGTAGCTTTGTATACAATATAACTCATTGGCATATAAGTACCTTGTCACTAATGATCACCAGGTGGTTGGAAATGCAGGTTTTCTTTCCTGCCCAACTGGGAGGTAAAGGGTAGTGAAGTTCAGTCTATTACTAATATGCAATTAAATATAATTGAAATAGGACAAATTGAATAACGAAATTAAGTTTGCAAACTAGAGTAGGGAATGTGGGCTGTTCTTTAGTGAACGAGGTAGTGAGTTGGCAGTAGAGCCAGAGCCCCCGGCGTTTGTGTAACTCAAGGTGGTGGCCACCTGCTCATGCTTGCTCCATACATACTTGCCTGTGTTTGCCTTACTGGAAGGGCTCAGGAGACATTCCCCAGCAAGCATCCTGTGCAGAGGACTTTTGTTTTTAATGAAGTGCTAGATTTGAATATGATCAGGAAGAAGTCCTATGGGGCTTCCTCAGATTTGCTTTTGTTTGTCTATTCATCTAGGACACCTGATGGTGATATTATTCATAGTATAAAAACAAAAATGTAAGTCTGGTAGTCACTGCCTGACCCAATTGTCCAGCTCTTCCCTGCTTCCTGTCACTCATTATTAGTGAAATGACAGGTGCACGAACCCATCCATCCCACAGTCCCATGGTTTTTCTGATCCAGTCTCTGCTTTTATCTTGAGCCTCAGAAGCTGCCACTTACAGGTGTCAAAATATGTATCCTGAGGCTGGGAACATGGCTTAGTGATAGAGTGCTTGCCTAGCATGTGTGAGACCCTAGGTTCGATTCCTCAGTACCACATAAAAAATAGTCATAAAAAATATATTAAAATTTTAAAAATATATGTATCCTAAGTTTTCACACAGTGGTATATCCCCTACTCTCCTTGCTACTTTTGTAATTGGCTAGTTGAAGAATTCTTTTCTCTGTTTGAGACTTAATATAGGTACCATGTTCACAGGAAGTTCTTCAAGGTTGAACTGGGTGCTTTTTTTTTTTTACTGCAGAGAAAGTCCCTGGAGCTTTCATTATATCTTTGAAAAACAGAGATGAAACAACAGATATATTTGCAAACTTACCTTGCCTAGTAGAGGGGATAGGCCTGGGAAATACATAGTTATATAGTTAAGCACGTAGATAGGGAATGTAGGGGGTAGAAAAGATGAAATGTTTCATTGAAGTGATCGAGTGGGTGAAGGCCTTAGAGGGGAAGAGGGAATCTGTGCTGTGGACATCCTTAGCAAACATCTAGGGAAAGAAATCCTTGTCCTGTGATAGCATTTGTGCTGTGCCATAAGCATTCCAATCGCTGGAAAAGCTCAAATATGGTCACTTAACAGTTCCACTTAGAGTTTTGAAATTCTAAAAATACTTCTAAGACATATCTCCCCTCTGCCCTGCCACAGGCCTGGCCAGTGCACAGCTTGGGGGACTGTTAATGGCCCAGAACATCCCATCAGGGATATGATATGCTTAAGTTTCAGGGATTGCAGTCTCCATTCTCCCTCATAAGAGCTGAATTCATCTGTGAAATCCCTGCCCTGTAAGCATCTTTCATTTCCAGAAGACCGACCCTGTATGCTCTTCGTTCTCAAACTCCCAGCCTTTTTGTTTTGCATCTATCATTACCTGTGAATGTCCTCTGGCTCCTCTTTTAGGCTTACTCCTTAAATCTATGGGTAGGTTCTTCTGCAGTCAGATGATCCCTTGAAGATGGAGCCTTCTGCTGTTTTCCCATTCTCATGGGCAGCCTATTTTGAAATGGGTACTTCCTGCACAGCCCGCTCATCAGTACAAGAGCCTTCAGCTCTCTCACATTGTTTCCTTAGAATCTAGTTTTGTTAAGTCAGATTATTTTTTGTTGTTGTTGGTGGTGGTCCTGGGGTTCAGACTCTGGGCTTGGGTGCTGCCCCTGAGCTCTTCAGCTCAAGGCGAGCACTCTACCACTTGAGCCACAGCACCACTTCTGGTTTTCTGGTGGTTAATTGGCGATAAGAGTCGCAGGGACTTTCCTGCCTGGGCTGGCTTTGAACTGCGATCCTCAGAGCTCAGCCTCTTGAGTAGCCGGGCTTGAGCCACCAGCACTCAACTGAAGTCAGATTTATCCATTATAAGTTAAAAATAATTTTGCAATAATACCAAACTGTTGTTTTTTGTTTCTGCTTTTTTAAAATTGCTGATCATCCAGGCTAGGCATTTACTCTGCCACGTACACCAGGCCTCCATATTGCTTTGCTCTGGTTGTTGTGTTTGTTCAGGACACTTTGGACTGCGATCTGATTTATTCTCTCACTGTTCACAGTGCTTCCCATTTCCGGCCATCTCTTCTTATTCTCTTGTACCTGTGGCCATCTTGTTTAGCTTCATTAATATTTTTGTTTTTGTTTTTTGTGTTTAGTTTCACGTCCTTACATAAGTGAGCCTTATGGTGATCTAGATTCTTTTTTTTTTATTTTACTTTTTATTGACTGTGGAAGATGAGGATTTAACCTGAAGTAACCTGCCATCGTAACACAGTTGTATCAAGCACTGTTGAAAAAAAAATGAGTTAGATTCAGAAGGCAAGATTTTCTTGATCCTAAAATGCTGTAAAGCAGTATTTTCCGGGGGTTAAAACTCGAGTTTGCATAGTACATTGCTAGGGACTTGGGGTAAAAGCAAAATACTAGAATCAAAAGGCATGGGTATGAATAATTACAAAAGATAACAATATCAACACTCTATTTTTAGCTATACCATTAAAACATGAGAAATCCTCATTTATTCCCATCTTGTGGTTAGTCTCTGATCAAGTCTTGTTGTTTTGAAACCCCAGGCAGTTAGTCTTAATCACCAAACCTTTTATAGGAGCTAGGATGAAAGTTTAGTCCTATTTAAAAGAACAAATGTGCTAAAGACAAACTGTTCTAAGAATCATAGATTTGTATGAAAAACTGCACCAGAGAAAAACAGTAATTGCCTCAGCATGAGAGATGGAAGGTATGTCAAGATAATTGGAGACTTTGTTTTATGTGTTCACTTTGGTCTAGTTTTGATTTCATGGACTTTAATTTGTTTCTGTGTCTTAATTTTTTTCTTAATCTATTCTAAAGAATGTAAAACACTCCTGAGGATCTTATTACTGTTTGGGAAATTATCTTCTTTGGTACCATTGGATACAATTTTTTTTTTGTCAGTCTTACAAGAAAAAAAATATAGTATGATGAAACAGGCTATTGTATTTTAGCGATCTGACAGTGGAATCTCTGAAAATTTTTGTATAAGATCATATACACTGGGACAATTTTCATTAGGGTATTCCCTATCCTGAACCAGTCTTCCCTCTTTCCCTCCCTCCCTCCCTCCCTCCCTCCCTCCCTCCTTCCCTCCCTCCTTCCCTCCCTCCCTCCCTCCCTCCTTCCCTTTCCTTCCTTCCTTCCTTCCTTCCTTCCTTCCTTCCTTCCTTCCTTCCTTCCTTCCTTCCTTCCTTCCTTTTTCCTTTGCATATTTAAGTTTTGGAGGAATTATCTTTTTGCATTTATTCACATTTCTTATCATTCATATCTGTAAAAACTGACATTTTCCTAACTTAAATATTGGTGCTTAGTCATTCCTTGGACAGGTATGATCACATCTAGTCTAATCAGAGATGTTCCATTATTTGCTGAACACTTGAGCTTACAAATATACCTGTGGCTTCTTTTTGAAAAGGCACTGCGACGAGAGTTAAAGGAAAAAGAATATTCCATCCTGAATGCTGTAGACCAAGCTCGAGTTTTCCTGGCTGATCAGCCAATTGAGGCCCCTGAAGAACCGAGAAGGAACATCCAAGCAAAAGCAGGTAAGACTGGATTCTTTCAGACATCATATTAGAAAAAAGAAAAAATAGTACATATTTAGAGAACAACAAAAAATCAAATAGGAAATGGCCTATTGTTCAAGATCTAGTATTTAAATCTTTTTTTTCTTAGTATTTAAATCTTTTAAGAAAGAAAAATTGTCATAAGTTTAACAAATGCATAAATTCTTTTTTTTTTTGGTCGGTCATGGGGCTTGAACTCTGGGCTTGGACGCTGTTCCTGTGCTCTTCAGCTCAAGGCGAGCGCTCTGCCACTTGAGCCACAGGGCCACTTCCTGTTTTCTAGTGGTTTATTGGAGATAAGAATCTCACGGACTTTCCTGCCCTGGCTGGCTTTGAACCGTGATCCTCAGATCTTAGCCTCCTGAGTAGCTAGGATTACAGGCCTGAAACACCAGCGCCCGGCGTGTATAAATTCTTAAGTGAAAAGAATATTAGGTTATACTTCAGAATCTCTATTTTAAAAGAAAAATTTAGGTTCAGAAAAAGGCTTATATTTACATTGTATGACTTTAATGAATGAATTCATTGTGGCTGAATATCGGAGTGAACCCTTTTGGTACAACTATTATATACTAATAAAATAACTACAAACATGATTTGTCTATGAAGTAAAAATATATATTTCTTGTATTAAAACAACTTGCTTAATTAATTGTAAGAGAAGAAAGTTATTGAAAATGTAATAGCAAATACGTAAAATATTTGTATCTATAAAATGAAGTTTTTTCAGACATGTGTCAGCATGTGATGGTAAACTGCCTTTCTTTTATCAGCAGGCAACAGCATTTAATTAAAAACAACAAACAAACCCTAAAACACTGATATGTTTTGGCTTAAAATTGCAACGGGAACTACCTTACTAACAAAGAGCAAGTCACATAGTAAATTTAAGAGAAAATTTGCAATGCGTTTTGGAGCCCATATATAGCTCTCTAATGGTTTTACACCATTGGCCATTAAAAACATCCCGATGCATTTTTAAAAATTAGCAGCATGTCATTCCGGGTATTTTTCCATCGTTCACTTCCCTGGGCAAAAGAGGACCTGAAAGAGCAGCTGCAGTTCTCACCGAGCGGGAAGCTTGCAAGGCAGGTGGTCATTGTGCTGAGCCTTCTTAATGGAAGCTCTCCTTCAGGCTGAGTGCATCTCCCAAGGCCGTGGTTTTCTTGACTTTTCCATCAAGTCGTTGTGCATGTGTGTGCACACAACACATATATACGTGCAGAGCTACTTCGTGTCTTTTCTGACATCACTTTCTGTTTTCTACTCGGGTTCCATAGCAGTCTGCCTACTGGGAACCTCAGTCAACGTGGAAGCTTCGATTTCTCATCAAACCCTCATTTGCAAATCACTCTTAATTGCTTTTTTGGGGATTTTTTTTGGGGGGGGGTTGTCTCTGAAGATTGATTCCTCATGCATATTTTACCTGCTGCCTTCTGGGCTCCCCATCTATGCCTTCAGTTAACTAGGGATTGAAGTGATTTGGGGAAAAAATGTATCGGTATTGAACATGCACTCTTTTCTTGTCATTATTCCCCAAATAATGTAATAGAATAACTATTTCATAGCATTTACATTTGTGTGTGTGTGTGTGTGTGTGTGTGTGTGTGTGTGTGTGTGTGTGTGTGTGTGTATGTATGTATGCTGTGTTCCTTGGATTGAGAAGACCTGGAAAAACTAATAGAACATTCCAACTTCAGACAGCAGAAAGAAGGTGCTATTCCAGTTTCATGGCATCTCCCTTTGTGTTGTTCATTTGGAGGAAGGAGACATTCACTCATCTTTTCTTAGTATTTATTAGTCTTCCTTGAAACCATTTTTCTTGTGTCCCAAGGACTTGAGTGAGAAGAGAGGAAACATTTTAATCATGAGCTGCCTTGTAGCAGAAGGATGTCTTGTGAAATCATGGAAGTTTCCCTTTTACCGTAGCTTCTCCTTGATGTGGTCAGATATTTCAGAGTGTAAAGGATACTACTGCTTTTTGATGTCTCTGTTTGCTGTTACTTTCAGGATACTGAGTCCCATTTTCAAGTACCACAAGTTATATCGATTGAGCTATATGAATTTTTTTTTTAGTTTGCTTTGTTTTCCGATTGGTAATTTCCCTACCCTTTCCTTTCTTGATGTTATTTTCTGTAATAGTGGTTGATTTTTACCTGCTGTTCAAAGTAAATGGAAGAAAATTATCCATAATAGCTTTTATCCTTTCCTTGTTTACCATGACTTATGTAGAGCTGCTATCTGAAATAGAGAGCATTTGAACATTAGTTATCCCGTGTGATGGTGAAGTATTCAGTGTTGGACGCAGGAGGAGCCGGCAGAAATGGTGTTATAGTTGTTCAGTTCTAGTTATTAAACATTTTTGATATGTTCTATAGACTGTGCCCTAGAGCACTAAGATGTTCCAACTTCATCGTTTTTCTCCCTGACGCACTTTTCTGTTCCTTTTATGTCTTCTCATTTTCCTATTATTGATTATCTTATAATGTGGTTTGCAGTTTGTAAATATTTGCAAATTAATACAACCCGCATCAACTCCTTACCCTCTTTTGATAGGCCTCCTTCAATACTCTGTTAATTAGTATCCCTCCCTTAATAGAAACCCTCGAATCATACATACAAAGCACAGAATTGCTACTTGTTCGAGTGGCTTCTGGAGTGGGAGGGATCTGACTCCTTCTGCAGGCACAGAAGCTGCACAGAGAATTGGCCTCAGCATTTCTGTATGTGTCCCATCTCTGTGCCCCTCCCCTACTTGTACTTGATGTCTGTTGAACACCAAGCTCCTTTTCATGTCCCACAGTAATGTCTACTGGGCCCTTGTTCTGTTACTTAACCTGGGTTTTCTTTTTTCCTGCCTGTAGACTTCTCTTCCCTGATTTCCATTTATTCCATTGCCAACTCTCATGACCTACCTGCCCCGCTCCACCCAAGACCTTTGTCATCTGGGACATGTTGCCTTTCTGAGCTGTCTCTGGACTCCCTGCCACTCTGTCCCATCCCTCGCTGGATGGTGAGAATCTGCATCAGAAGCTTTCCCCTTGCAGGCTTTTTAAGAAATGACTCCTTTGTATTGAGAAGCTGAATATGAAAAATGATCTGAGTGTCCAATTCAGTTGAAATAAGGAAAACAGTGCAGATATTACTTGAGTCATAGGCAAGACATTCAGTACTCTCTCTGATAGGAAATTGAGCTTTAGATAGTGTTGTAGTTATTTGAACTCTATGCCCAGTGAATTATGAGGAATGAGCCAAGTAGAAGTGAGAAGAGAGAGCAAAAGCTGACACTGAGAAGTGACTGTACAGTCTGATAGCAAGGAGGAGAAAGCAAACTGTGGAGAATGGATGTAGTCCTTGAGGTTTTTTACAGTGAAAAGCTGCAGCTTTGGATGATGGTCTATATTTGAAGGTGGAATCTACATGTTTTAAAACAGACATAAGAATTTATACCATATTTTACAATAAGTTACCTTCTAAAATGACAACCATAAAAAGCAGGACTAAGTGGGGGGACATGTCTGGAAAACTCAGCTACCAGAATAAATTGTTCTACCATGGCAATTAGGTAAATATGAGTTTTAACTGAACTGAAATTTCCCTGAATATAGAAAATTTTAAAGCATACAACTTGGTCAATAGACTGTCTTGTTCCAGCAGTATGGGAACACTTAAGATCATGTAATTGGTCTTATCATATCTATTTATATCTGTATCTATTTCCTGTTAATAAAGTCCAATTGTTTTTATTTGATTATAATAACCCAGTTTGTATTAAAGAACTAGAACAATGGAATAAGAACTGTATTATATTATTTGTGATAGGGTATTTTACCTCTAAAAGCATTTAAAGAATTATGCAATTTATGTTCAATATATGCTTTTCTTTTTTTAATTTAAGATTCAATGAAAAGTTTGGGACTGAGGTAGAGCTCAGTGGTCTAGTGCGGGTCTGGTATGTACAAGGTTCTGGGTTCAATCCCAAGCACTGTAAAAAAGAAAGAAAGAAAAAGGTGTGAAGGGAGAAAGAAGACAAAGATGAAATAGAAAAGATTACATTATGTTGTTTATGTATTTTACCATGAGTTTACTTTATAAAAATTATTCCTGTTAAAGTATTGCTGTTAGTAAAATTATTTCATTCATGTCTGAACATCATTTCTGTTTCTGTATAGACAATTTGGTTTCATTTAAATGATATTCCCAGAACAGTCATAGAAGAAGAAAAATAGATAGGTACCAGGGACTCAGACCTGAAATCCTAGCTACTCAGGTGGCTTAGACCTAGAGAACTGAGGTTTGGAGGTAGCCTGGGCAAAAAAGTCCAGAAGACTTCATCTAAAAAAATGACTTGCACAAAGCTGGAGTAGAGGTGTGGCTCAAGTGAAAAGAATGCCAGCCTAGCAAGCAAGCCAAGAGAGCATGCAGCCATGTGAATAGATCCGGGATTAATGATTGACAATGATCTTTTTCAGATAAAAATGCATGTAGAGATTAGTATTTTCCTTGGAAGCTCTTTAATGTCTAGCTATGTGTTTTAGTGTTATTTGGAATTTTAATTCATGGCATACTGTGTATTTTAATTCAGGGTATAGTTCTTTTAATTCTTAAATGTTTTATGATATTTTGGAAAGCCAGGTACTCCAAGTATTCCCATATCTTCAACGTGTATTATGTGTATTATATATTATATACATATTATATATATGTATATTATATATGCTTATATGTATTATATATGCTATAAATGGCATTTTAGTGTACTATGTCAATTTATTTTATGCTCCTATTAGCAAACTTGTGTCAGTCAGATTTTGTAATCATTGAGTAAAGATGTGTGACTTCAAGATACATTGTTATCTTATGTCTAATAAAATGAGGCCAATTGGACACAATACGTAACAGAAATTATTAGGCTGGTAATAAGGTCTCCTTAAGACCTTTTTGTCTGTTTTCCTAATAACAGCTTTATTAATCAGAGC